AGCACTAATGCAGATGTAACTCACGTATAAACTGCCCCATCCTGCTGGTACAAATGCCCCCCTTTTTTGTGCCAAGTATCAGTATTTGCCAGACTCTTACTGGTGCTTTTTTAAAAGGAAAGAATTTGTTCTGGCTCCGTGAATTGACTATTTACACAATGAGTATCCAGCTCATGGTGTTAGCTGAACAAAAATCTGACTAGTCTGGAAACTCTGTGCTGAAGCTCATGCATATCTGAAAGGAAAGTTTTCCTTAGAGATTTTATGTCCACCTTGGCTCTGCTTCTTTTGCATGCATTCGGTTCTGGAAGATGTTACAGAGAACTAGAAGCACGTCGTGTTTAAATATTCCACCAGTAAAATGACCAAAACATCAAGACAATGCATCATGTCGAAATGAGCTGATGCCTCGTGCTTTTATCCCGCTGACCTATATTTTGATTCCCGCTGGATTGCTGATATGGTTACATTCAAAAATACATATAGAACTGATATTAGAGCAGAAAATGGCCAACGGGGAGCCTCGTCTAAGATTTTCAACGTGTTGTAAGGAAAAACGTGACACTTTACACAACATACTGTTTCATCTTCCCCCTCCTTTGGTTTCATGCYGGTGATCTCCAGCAGAGGATCTCCTGCTGGGAAATGCATGTGTGTGAAAAAAAAATCTTGCATCAAATAACCTGTATATTCTGAGCATCTCTGATGGTGTTTGATAATGACTTAAAAAGCCTGTCTAATGATGGTTAATTATTATATAACACGTCGTTATCAGAATCGGTCACAAATGGAAACAGAAAAATGAATGTGTAACTTCTCTAGTTTGCTCGCTCGAGGTGTTCTGCTCTTTTAAAAGGGTTGATTTGCATTAAGAGTGATAGAAATGTTTACTGCGAATGAGTTGTTAATTAACAAACATGTTACTTAAATAAATTACCTTTGGTGTATTCAGAAAATGGCTTTTGGCAAATTTTCAAATATGTACAGCCTAATTATTTTACTTAGTGTTGTTTACTGGAATATTGCATTCAAAAAAACTGTTAGCTGTTGACCACAGAGGTGACTGACTTTTATACAATGGCTAATTTATCCCTGCCTAGGCTTTCAGTTGTAACATAGAACAACCTTATCATGCTCACGTTACATTTCAGACAGAGAAACGTGTTTGCACAGCCTTTTGTGGACTTAAAAAGAAGCCTTTTTTTAACAGAACCTTTTTGTCTTTACTGCATATTTTGTTGTGCACAAATATAGGTT